GTAGGAGTGCAAAGTACCAGAAACTTCAAGGTCTCATGAGGTAGTATTCAGAGAAATACTGTGTTTCAGTTGACCCTATTTTCAACGATTCGCGCTTGAGAATAGAATACGTGCAATAAGAATACTTAGAATAAGTGTAGTCTTTGCAAGAGAAAACGACTCATTCAATACGATTAACAGCTGCAGGCTAAGCGCCACAATTCACCTGCTGATCGAGTCTCAGCAGGAAGTTTCTTTTCGATTCTTCATCAACGGGATCTTCGACCAACTACAAAGTAGCCTGGTAATTACAGCACTGCTACAAGTTTTTATTAATGAGAAGCTGACGACAGATTTCCCTATCGCAAAGCCGTCGTTTTGCCATAATTTCTGGAGAAGTGGTCCAATTTCTTTGATCTCTTGCCGGAAACACGGTGAGCCCATAAGAATACGCTTCTGTCTCAGCCTCGCGACGGAAGATGCTTTGAAAGAGACTGGCGTGGAATCCAATGGGCTATGGGACTCAAAATGCCGTAGTTGGGGCAAATGAGTCACTATTAGGTGTTTTTGAAGTGAAGAAGCCGAACCACGAATAAAAACTCTTTGGAAATATAGAATGGAAGAATCGAATTGTCGAAATTATTCTCAGTCCTTCCAGGGAAATGTGCTCAACATAGGCCCACAGTGAGCTCGTAGCCACTAAGCCATGAGGCCGTCGCTGTAGAGTGCAGCCGGAGATGAGCTTGCTCCAGCCTACGCTGCGAGATTGAGAATAGGGATAGCCGCTGCCTGGCAGCGACAAATTTTTCCTCGCCTTCCAATTTTGATTCGAGCTGCCAGATCAAAAGCTTTTTCCACTATTAATTGTAGACTTGCCCCTGTTCCGCGGACAAGTGGCCAGTCCCGCACTGGTAGCTGTTGCACCATTTTCGCTGCACAAGCCCGTGCCGTCCTTCCTCGACCTACACACCTTCACTGACCTCGCCCAGCTTCCCTACCAGCCATAATAACAGAAGATCCGCCAAAAAGTGTAGGCAGGGACATTGTTGTCAATGAAAATTCAGCTGGGATCAATTGTAGCGATAATATCAACCTTATTAGCCTCTGTGATCGTGTCCGATTACACCCTTTCATACAAATGCGCCGGCTAGCCTTGGGGCAGTGGTGAGGCTTTTTTTCGGTTTTCCCCACCGTTGACTTTGTAAGCGTCTTGAGATCCCTGTTTGAGCCCGCTACATTTTCTGCCTCCACTACATGTACAGGCGTTGCTGGTTGAGGAAACAGTCCGATCTCCTGACTTTGGTCTGATCTTGAGGAAAAATGTTTGAGCACGTTCTAGTTTTTCAACCTCCCAGGGTTTTTCATCGCCAAATCCTCTGCGCAGCTTATTGCTACTTACATAAGGACTCACATAAAGTGGTTCTATATTGCCTTTGGATGTTCCTAGTGTTGATTTCAGATTCAGAATGTCCTTTGTCGATGCCCTGCTTGAGCCCTCAAGATGTGTAACCAGTTTTACTTACAGCATTGCAATGTCTCATTCCAGCATGGTGACATCGACATAAATTGGGGCCTTCTCGTTGCAGCTGATATCTTATATACCAGTCGCCTCGCCGGCTGACGCCGGCGCGGCTCCTTCTGATACGGCCCGGCTGCGCCGGGCGGGCGCGGCTTCGCCGCGCGTATTTTCTTTCACATATTTCTAGACTCAACTGATATCCGCCTTTTGTTCTGTACTCCACTTTTCTCCGGTGTCTGAAGTACTCTTGAGCTGTTTTACAAATTCTTCGTCTGACTCCGCCCACCTCAGAGCAGACCCGCCCTCAATTTTTGTGCCCCGCACTCTTCACAGGCGACCCCCTGCTGACCTTAATCCACTTTTTCCGGTCTTCGGAGTGCTCTGGGAGAGTTTTGGAGAATTTTTGTCTGGCTCCGCCCACCTCGAAACAGGCTCCGCCCCAATTTTTGTGCCCCACAATCCTCACTGGCGACCCTCTGCTGACCTTAATCCACTTTTTCCGGTCTTCGGAGTGCTCTGGGAGAGTTTTGGAGAATTTTTGTCTGGCTCCGCCCAACTCGGGCTGGCCCCGCCCACAACATGTATACCCCACATTTCTTAATCGGCGACCCCTTGCTGACCTGAATTCACTTATTCCGGTCTTCGGAGTGCTCTCGTTTTACAGACCTTTTGTCTGGCTCCGCCCACCTCGAAGCAGGCTCCGCCCACAACGTTTTTGCCCCACGGTCCTCACCTTCGACCCTCTGCTGACCTTAATCCACTTTTTTCCGGTCTTCGGAGTGCTCTGGGAGAGTTTTGGAGAATTTTTGTCTGGCTCCGCCCACTCGGGCTGGCCCCGCCCCCAATTTTCGTGCCCCACAATCCTCACCGGCGACCCTCTGCTGACCTTAATTCACTTTTTTCCGGTCTTCGGAGTGCTCTGGAACCGTTTTACAGACCTTTTTGTCTGGCTCCGCCCACCTCGGAGCAGGCTCCGCCCACAATGTTTTTGCCCCACAGTCCTCACCGGCGAACCTTTGCCGACCTTGACGCACGTTCCGGTTTCAGTGCTCTGGAACCGAGCTACAAACTTTTAAAGTGAGTATCCTGCGGTTTAGGGCAAGCTCCGCCCACTGTGGGCGGATCTCAACACATTTTGAGCATGCCCAATACTCGCCAGATATTTACATTCTGCACTGAGCTTTTTGCGGCTTCTGAACACTCTCGCGAACCGAGTTACTGAGTTTTATGCGAAGCACCGCCCACCTTGAGTACGCCCCGCCCATTTTGGATGTGTCTGCCACAGTTAGTCTGGCGACTCCTTACTAACCTTATTCCCTTTTTTCCCCATCTTAGGCTGCTCCGGAAGCGAATTATGAACATTTTTCTGTGAAACCCCAAAATTTCAGCGAGTGCCCCGCCCACTGTGGGCGGGGCTTCGCATAGGTCAAGTGTGCTTTTTATTTCTTGTCCCATGCTCTACCCATCCCCACCTTGACCCGACCTCTCCAAGTCGTTCTTCAGGTCGAACCGAATTTCCGGACAGACAAACAAACTTACAAACAAACAAACAAACAAACAAACAAACTTACAAACAAACAGACGAAGCGAATTATATATATGGGGTGATATTGAGCACTACGCACTGCTACGGGATCATCTTTATTCTCTTTAATATTACATTTAATAGTTATATTCATTCATTTTCACTATCAGTTTTACGTTTATGGTATTCTAGTGAATTGAAACTTTTAAATCTGCTGCTCAGATTTCTCCGTAAGCCTTCGTCCAAGGTGCTCCACCAATCAATCATTCTGAAATCGTAAACACCTTTATATGGAATGAAACATTTCGGACGAGCCGACTTACTCCGTCGCTACTTGTTCTCGAGTTTTAATGTGAGCTGCTAATGATATGACAAACTGCTTCAGCTGAAATACATACTTCTGATTGACGGCGTGTTTCGAGAGAAAGCAAAAAACTGCCGTCTTCATGGAAACTAATAAAAGCACAGTTTGGCACGGTGGGGACACAATACAGTACCAAACGAAGTGAAGGCCCTATAATGGTCTGTTGAAAGTGGTTCAGACCCGGTGTTGTAGAGTTTCATGTCGTAGGATTTGATTGTTTTGGCACCCGTATAGAGACTGTCCGGCGCAATAGCCTTACAAACGTCGCATCGTAAAATGGCTACCCTTGTGTTGCAGGCATGGTACAGCATCGTGATGTGTGAAATGGTAGTGTAAGTTCGACCCCCCCCCTCACCTAAATGAGGGCCTCGGGGTAAGACCCCCTCCCTCTCCTCCACACCTACCTACCAATTTCCAACATTTTCCAGTTTTTCACCCAAGGATTTTCCGCCGAGGGGGACGGGCATGCGAAAGGTCAACAACCGGGAACAATTTTTTCCAACGCACAATTTTTCTCAAACGCACATACGTCCTCCTCTCTCCCAACGACCGAATACGACAACCTCTCCCCTGCAAAAAGTACGCCCCCTGCGTGTCTCATATACACGAATGCTGTACGGGGGGGGGGGGGGGGCAAAAAAAGTCACTTTGCCTCATTGACTTTCGAGGCGCTATAAATTACACTTTATCAAATTCTGATCGGACATTTTTACTACCATATTGAAGAGCATATTAAGTACTATCACGACACTCCGCCACAGCCTTCTGGACGAACGCCATCGAGAGATTCTGGCACGCGACCGCGATGTGGTACCTGAGATCAGCGGGGTAGTCGATTTCTCCGCCACCGTAGACCACCCTCTTGAAGTCCGCCCGAACTAGGTAATTGAGTGGGTTCAGGTCAGGGGACATACTTCAATATTACATCTTCTTCAGGTACGAACGTCCAAAACCCTTCGATTCCATGTGGTGGCACCCAAACCTGTAGCAGCACAAGGTCTCCAAGAAGGTACGGGCGACCACATGTAGGGAGGATATTCTTCTCGAGTTACTTGATGTAACCGCCAGCGCTCACCTTCAGTCGGGGTCTACAAAGAAAATATCGGTCTTCCCTTTCCAGGTACCCCGGTCCATACCATCAACTCGCGCCTCGGCGAATACGGTGAAGATGATGTCCTAGACCGTAGCGACGTTGCCGTAGCTGCTCGATGTGGGAGGTCTTGCAGATCAAGAGTACTGACCTCCAGGTAGCTATCTGTGGATGACTTCATTCAAGAAGTTTCGCAGCTGTTTGGAGGCGACGTGAATTCCAAAGGTGTTCTCCAGTCAGGCCGCGACTGGAGATGACTTCATATTTTGGCGTACATGAAGGCGATTGGCGGCAGCCTGCTCCAGCTTATAGAGGAAGATCTTGGGTATCTTCCACTCTGGTACTCATATCCACTTCCCCTGTCTGGGCTGCGAAAACTTCGTTGATATGTGGCTCGGCCGAAATGACTTTTTTTTGGCCCCCCCCCTGTATACTAGTACATAGTTTGCGGGCGGGTTTTCCCACGCGAGGATTTTTCGACCATTGGTGTTCTTCAGCTGTAACTACAAAATCGACAACAACGGGCGGCTCCACAACACGCACCATCCAGCACATTCAAAAGAGCACACAAATGTTGCCTAGGGGAGACTTCGTAGTCATGACTTAGCGGATAGGCAAAACCCACCAACAGCCGAATTCGCCCCAAAATTTGAGAGAGAGTCGACACCTCACGACTCGCCTGCGTGATTAGAGTAAACGGATCGAGTGGACCTCGCTGCAGAGCGGGACAAACGCTGAGGAAGAAGAAGATCAGAGTGAACAGAGAATATGGATGTGCGATAAGAAAACTGCATGAGAACAGTTTTTACTCACATCATCAATAAGCTTCCAGAGCTTTCGGTCGCCATGAGCTTGTGCGTTTCTTATCTTCTGCACGTCTGTATTCTTCGTGCTCATTCCAAGCTGATATTGTACACAGTTGGTTGATGAGTATTCTACGACGTACCGGGTGCTATACGCCTCGGAACGGACTAGTTCCCAACGAGGTTTGGTCTCATCACGTTCTGAGACGGCGAAACTGCGTCATACCGTCTATTTGGGGTGGTGACAAGTTCTGCCGTTGACTAAGCTAGGTTTAGGACATGTTAGGCTGTCACTAAGTTATAAGTTCAGGAATATAGGAGACTTACAATACCCCGGGCCGCGCGTAAAAGCATGTGCGTAAAAACAGCCAGAGCCACTAGACCAGCTTAGCTGTCTACGTTCAGGGGCCGACACATCTCATTTCACGCACAATTTCCGGGGTACTGTATGCCGTTGTTTCCCTGAACTTTTAATCATATTGGTCTGTCTCAGTGATAAGGTGCAACGTACGGGCGTGGCGTGAAAAGTGTCGCTGCAGAGTGATACTCCCGAGGCATATAGCGCCGCACCGATAAAAAGAAAGAAGTAACACGCAAAGTAAAAAAAGTTATGCGAAAAAACGACGGAGTAAGTTGTTTACGATCAGTCCATCAAAAAACAATTCACAAGCTATTTTGATGGGAGGAAAAGCTGTACCCGTTTCAATGCATTTCTTAGCAGCTGCTCTTTGAATTTCTCTGACACTGTGTCCAGTGAGCTTTTTGAAGAAAATGTCTAACCACTTGTCTGAAATAGTGCAAGTTACGAGACTGTGTCCAGTGAGCTTTTTGAAGAAAATGTCTAACCACTTGTCTGAAATAGTGCAAGTTACGAGAAGTGCCATCATAGTGTATTGTACGCATCGAATGCAGAGGCAGAGCCTTATCAGGGGAGGCCGGTTTTGGTACGGCTCTGATGCCCGTTTCACTTGTTGCTGTCCCTTACCCGCTACAACAAGTGGTGCAGGACTGGCTGACGCCTTGGCCCAACCCATCCCCCCCTGACACGCCACAGCATTCGCAGCGAACAACTGTATAAGTGACCCGCGAAGGTGTTCAAACAAACCTTCTTCATAGCGCTCTTTAGGTATCTTTGGCTTTCCACCAATAGGTATGATGAAGAGAACGAGCAAGACAATCGAGACGAAGGGGGGCATGCGTAGGAATTAGGGCCAAGTGATCCATACTGTGGCTGAGCGCTTTTATATGGTCCGTGATTATAATTATCGCTATTTGGCTTCCCATCATTTACCCGAGTTGTGAGCGAGTGCGCGGTGGTACCTCTAGCGGTTATTATGGCCTAAATTGTGGTTGCAGATCTTTAGTAGTGGGTTCGCAAAAAACAGAAGGGCCTGTGGCAATTGAGGTGTCAAAACAGAACAAAATTGCTCAAAATGTCCCAGATAAGACCATCCCTGGTCTGAAGCTTTGCACGAGCTGATAGGGAAGAGGCAGTGAGTTTGTGAAAGAGGAAAGACGTTCAGCCGCGAGCAAGTAGCCTGTTCAGCAGCGGTAACGGTTGCACCACTTTCGCCAGGCAAAAGCGATCGACATGGTACCCTTGCCTTCGTTTTTTAAGCTACACACCTTCAATGACTCCGTTCACCTCCCTGCCCATCCATGGCAACAGGAGACCGCTAGAGAACGTAGCTGTGGAATATTGTCAATGAAAAATCAGCTAGGATTACACTCCTTATCCCTGAGCCAGAGTAGGCGTGGCATTTGAACATGGCACGGAACTGGTTACTCGTGGAATATTCCAGTCTGGGACAACTGTCATCTTGTTCTGTGTTGGACAGAGACACGACAACAATTCAAGATGAAAATATCTCACCAGAAGCATAGACACCTTCAGGTTAAGTTGAACATGCGGCCACGCCTACCCGATCTCAGGGATTTCGAGTATAATTTTGGTGTCGATATCGACCGTACAGTCTGGTGATCGTGTCCGATAACACCCCTTGATCATACAAATGCCGGCTCGGGGGTTCTACTTGAGGCACTGGCAACGACTTTTTCAGTTTTTTTTTCGCATCACTGACTTTATTGACCTTTTGGTATCCCTATTTGAGCTCCGTTATCCAAGATATCTGATTGCGTGCATTGCCTTCAAGTTCCGCATCCGCAGCTTGTTGCCATTACTATCAAACCCGCTTTTACCTCGTTTGCTTTCTCGAACATATGTTCCTGTCACAATGATAAGGCCCAGACATGTGTCTCCGACAATGTCGGGAACCTTATTTAGTCTCATTACGGTTGGAATCGCCTCTACATCTGCGCACATCCAGCAAGAGCTGGTATGTGACAAGACAATCGTAACGTGCCGAGTGGGTGGGTGTGGCTGGTGACGTAGCATCTGACGGACGAGTTGTCCTGCCTGGCCGTCCGAAGCTGAGAGTTAGAGGGACGGGAAAATTTCATAAAGCCCATGGACTCTTGTCTCCGCTTGAATTCGCTCTAGTCCCGCTACTCCAGTCGACAAAGCGAGAGAATTTGCCGCGCATAGGAGCACGATACGTCGCGCGATGAACGAGCTGATTATCTTGCGATTCTCTTGTCCGTCTCCTCGAAAAATCTCAAGCCCGCCACCACAAGATCATCTTTATTCTCTTTAATATTATTTAACAATATTCATTCATTTTCACTTTCAATTTTACGTCTTCTGTACTCGAGTGCATTAAAACTGCTAAATCTGCTGCTCATATCTCTCCGTGAGCCTTCGTCCACGGTGCTCCACCACTCAATCATCCTGAAATCATGAAATATTTATATGGAATTTAACATTTCGGCACCTCGAAAAAAAGAGAAGTGTCGACTCACTCCTTCGCGATTTGTTCTCGGGTTTTCCTGCTGTTTGCTAACTGTGCGATGAACTGTTTCGCCTGAATCACATGCTTTGATTCACGATTCGTGAGAGCAAAAGAAGTGGTCATCTTCATCAAAAAACGGGAGCAGTTTGGCCTGGTAGGGGGAGGGAGGGATCAAACAGTGCTCAGCAAAGCGGATACAGACCACCCTGTGTCCCTGTGAAGACCTGTAATTTCCTGTAAAAAGTGTTCATTCGCAGTATTGCGCACATTTACAAGAGTTTACAAGTGTCACCAAGATTACACTTTCTACTCAACATGAACTAGCAAAATGAACTTTCGGAAGGGCAAAATACCCCCTCCAAGAGGAAGTACCTTCCTTTGGTGATTTCTTTACCATTACATTCAGTATGAATCCCTGGATTCTTTAACAAGTTGGTTGGATTAGTACATGTACCTGGGATTAGTATATGTACCTAATGAACAAATTGCAGAACAAAAATAGAAACGAGATGAATGCAACTGCATTGGGTCCTTCAGGTTGCGAGATTTGACACTGAGGCTGCGTTTATACTTTGCGGCAGCGTCACCAGCGACAATCCGTTTTGAGCGTCCGTCAGCGTCAGTGACTGAAAGTATAGATATCGATCTAGCGAACGGCAGCGTCTCAAGGGACTAGGGATGTCGATCTGGTCTACCAGCGTCCACCAGCGACCACGATTAAAGAGTATTAGGAAGTAGGAGGGTAGCAGACTGCTGGTACTGTATGGGGAATGTACCTAGTCGCCAGCGCGAACGCGATGGACGCTAAACTATAACCATACTTCCCGAGTCCCTCGAGAGACGCTGATGGCCGCTGGTGGACGCTGGTATACGCTGCCGTCGCTAGATCGATATATGTACCCTCCCAGTCGCTGACGCTGACGGACGCTTGAAACTTTGATGGTCACTGGTGGACGCTGCCGCGAAGTGTGAACGCAGCCTACCGTAACGCTTAATGCATGGCGACGTTGCTATGCCGAAAGACTAGTCGCAAAACTCTGCATAACAGCAAGGCAAGGCATTGTCGAACAGGTTCTGCCGCCACAGTTGAAGGAAACTGCGATAAGCGGCCAACCAATCACTTCTAACCTAAGCGAGCAGCGCGCAAAAATGTTAAGGGAGAGAGTCCACCCTTTGCAATTTGATCACTCTGATCCCGTAAGCGAATTGGTCTCGCAGAGTCATCAGATCGAAAAGTATGAACGCGCTCTAAAATACGCATGAATACGACCTGCATAAGAATGACTATGACCTCACATCATTGAGAAAGCTTTAAGAGTCGGTATTACCGGGTGTGTGAAACGCATCCCTTTGATCTTTTGTGCATCTTCATTCGTCGTGCTTGGTTCGGAGCTGATATTATACACGTTTTCCATGATCCACGAAGCACCTGAGGGCCGCTGTATGCCCGGCGAGGCGAGCATTTTACCATCGAAGCCTAGTCTCATCATGTTCTGACACGACAAAACGCGTCATGATGTCTGGATGGGATAGTGACATGTTTCAACGTTAACGAGGACATTTTAGAGCATGTTAATGTTAACTTCAATCCCGGTCGCGGTGGCCGTCCCTCCTGTGGCTCGTAGCGCGCCTCACAGACACATGAAAAAGTAAGACTGCGTTCATACTTTGCAGTAGCGTCCACCAGCGAGCATCAGTGTTTTGAGCGTCCTTCAGCGTCAGCGATCGGGAAAGTAACAGGTATTGGCATCTTTGCGAACGACGAGCCCGTTCTACCGAGCCTTCTACCAAGCGACCAGGAGCAGTGATTGTTGCAGGTAGGCATTGGGCGGTTTGGGGGGTGTCTGAACACGCCACAATTTCATGAAGTCGCCGGATGCATGTGTCTCCCGGTCTCTTATTATCCCATGCCTCCTAACACGCAGGTCTTGCTATCCTCCTAGCGTGTTCCATATATGTCTTCTATCTCTGCTGGTCCGCTGTGTGGGTGGGAGCGTCTGCAATGTATCTGATGTTGACCGCAGTCCATATTGTGGAGAGTCAAAGGAATAATATTGAGGTGTTTGTCAGGGTTTCAGATCAGCGGAGTGCCCACAAAGGTGCTTCAGATGGAAGCGGAGGCTGTACCCGTTTTATTGGCGAATCAAGCGAGGGGTGACTGCTTGGGATTTCGAGCTGATACTTGTATTCCGGTTGAAACTTTCCGTGGCAGAAGATGTCCAGCCATTGGTGCGTGAGAGGACCATGCCAATCACGAAATAGATGCAATCATGAGACGATGTGTCGTGATGATGGATCGTTCAAGAGAGATTGGGCTAGGCGGCAACTCCGTTTTTCCATCCATGTTGTCGTGCTTACTGCCGCGCTTCAACAATGGAGTATGATGTTGGAGGACCTGGTGTTGGGCGCGGATTGACCCAATACACCTATCTCTGTATCCAGCATCAGCAGTGAACAAGACTGCGAAAGCGACAGTCGTCAAGTGCGGACCTTGTTCGTAACGCTCTTTGGATATTGTTGAGTTTACACCAGCAGCTGCAGGTGTCTCGATGAAGAGAGATCTGGCAGAGTGTGCAATCGAAACGATATTTGTATGCATGTCGCAAGCAGTCAGGGCTAAGATGATGGGTGTGTACCATGATTGTGCTATATAATTGTCTGTCATACCCATTTCTTACTTTCATGTGCTAATATAAGTTGTTGTCAACGAGTGAAAAGTATGTCGGTCGGGTGAGTGCGGCGTGGAGTACGCTCGAATGCTTTCGTTTTTTATTGACATACAAATTGTGTGAATTGATTCCGGTGGGTGATGTGTGTTTGGGCGTTCAGAAAAAAGAATCTAGTGGTTGAGTCAATGATATAACATCAGACTTATGAATAAGATCGTGAGAATGCTCCAGAATAAGGATCCTTCGTGGTTTCGCAGATCCAGGTGTAGCGGAAGAGCGCGCGAGCTTGGAAAGATAAATTCCGTGTATGCGCGGCTAAGAGGTAGGGCTGAAGATAGTCCTTCACAAGCGGTGTGTGGTTGCTACTGCGTCTCCACAGCAGGTATTGCGAGTGGAGTGTCGGCGCGGAACCAAAGTAGGTCCTCCACTTTATATTTGTCTATGATATTTATGCCGAGATGTGTGGTGTTTAGGCAGAGAATCGTAAATTCGCGCTCATGATTGTCGTCTCTGTGTCGTTGTGTGAGCGTCCGCACGCCAATGACTGCGAGATTTAGGTACCAGTAGAAGTAGACGGGCGTGTACTGACCCCAAAAAAAGATTATGAGGCTGTGTGTCTGACCATGTCCTTATCTATATATATGCGATGCTGCAATCGAAGAAGAGGGGTAGTTACAACTCAAAAAAAAGCGTCTTGTTTTCGCCCGGTGTGTGTCGCGCGGCAAAGCTGTGAGGCAATTTGCGATTGTCTCTTGGTTGGCGTCGCGCGGAAACGAGAGTGACGTTGAGTAGTTGTCGTCTGCAGTGTCACACGGAGGGGGCAAAGTATAATGTACTGTCGGTTGAATCACGTATGACTGATGTATAATGTGTTACGCAAGTCGTGTCTATATGCAATTAATCTCGTTTGTGGTGGGAGTACCATGGAGGAAGTACCCATGTGTATGATTCTATAGCAGTGAGCGCGGAGCTCGTCCTTCAGCCGAGTGGAATACTTTACTTTCTGGCTCGTATACAGCTGGCGAAAAAGCTTGCGTGTGTGGAGTCGCTCGGTAAGGAAGCCGTGACGCGCGGGAGAGCAGCACAGCGTGTGGATAGTAGGCTCCAACTCGGTATAGTCTCCGAACAACGTGCGTCTACCTTAAGGGATGTCAACATGCGTGATGCTCTATCTAAGTGGAGAATTCGAGCGACCACGCTTATATCTCAGGCAGCTGAGAGTGAGAGCGGTGTGTTTCGCGTGGCCGAATCTCTCGGAGTGCGGGCGTCTGCCAGAGACTGTGGGGTCGGCAGTGTGTTGTTGGTTTTGTTGTGTGTGGAAGTTTTGCGGATAGGGTGGACAATGTTGTTGAATGTAATGTGAAAATGTTCAGAGTGGATAGAGTGTAAATCTGTATTTTCTTTTGAAAATCGACGAAAGAAAAGTTCTTTTCGCGCCCCCCCCCCTCGCTGCACACAGGGGGAGCCGAGGCCGTCAGCGGCCATACATTCAGATCCCTTCGGACGGAGTAGGCCCGTTGGCATTTATGAATGGCTAGGTGGGTTATCGTGATTCATTCCACCATTGCAAGACAGGTTTGTCATCTTGCGTGCTGATGTTTGTGAAAGAAATCTGATTATCTGAACTGTCCGTCTATGAGTGATCGCTAGATCAGCCCTTAAAGAGCTTTATTTGTGCTGGCCACGTTCAGGTTGAGGCGAAGTAACTCTATGTGCTGCGTGATTGCCATCGGGAATTTGAGCATACAATGGAAAGTTCATCTCGCTCTGGGTGCTAAGGCATTTCACAGGATGGGAGAGGGGGTGGGGAGAGTGGGTTTGGCACAGCGCCAGTCCGCCAGCATGCTCTCCTCAACAACTGACAGAGTACGGATTGGTGCGAAGCCAAAAACCCAAGCCACCCCATCCCCTTGACATGCATCAGCACTCTGGCAACATACTAATTACTGTACAGAACACGCGGATAATGCCAACAAATCTTCTTCACCCGCATGCCTCTTGGCGAGGCTTCTTGAGTCAACAAGTCTTAATTTGTGCTAGTTGATTGCGGCGCGTAACCAGTCTTACACGCCTCAGCACCCCTTCTGGGAACACGACTGCTACAGCAAAAAAGATAATCGAGTGAATCAGGAAAGAGAGAAGGGCTGTATTACCCAGTGGAGCAGAAACATGACAAGAAAAAAGAGAAGAAAAGAGTATCTGAGGCAAAAGGACCTTTGTTGGACATTTAAGATGTCAGTTCACCTCGTTGTCATTTATTGTGATAAGTGCCAGTCAAGAAAACAGGTTTTCTTTTCTGAGGTCTGGGATGACCAAGAGGAGGGGCACTTAGTGGTCTTGTCTAGCGAATCTGTCTCGAACGCCAAATCCGGTTCATGCGAGCCATTCTATTTCTACCGACCTTGTTGCCAAAATGCACATTCTTGAAACATGGGCGGATGGAGCGCCAATGGATGAAATATCTTGATAGTTGAGCCTAAATCCATTTTACAGACCAAAAAGCCGAATTGCTCATTAGAGAGGGGCAGGAGTTGTGCTATGCTCTTGGCATTCACAAGTCACCAATCAATCACCACAATGTGAACAAAAACAATTTTTATAGGAGTATCATCAGTCTTATATAATCGTGCAAGACGTTCTTCACATGCTGCGACGTTGATTAAATGGCTGCACACCAGAGGCAGAAAACAAAACGAATGGCTTTGAAGTTCTACCTGAAAAGTCTAAGAATTCATACCGATAATGCTGCCTTTTCGAAATACTCGTGGACTTGTCAAAAAAACCAACGCTCGAATCCGAGGTGCTTGGGGAGAGGGGGGGGGCGTATACGCCGCCCTGATGACAGGCTTTTCGCTATTTCAAAAACACCTGCTTGCTGATATTCTCGAACACATTTGAATCGTCTAGATTGTTCAAGGCAAGAGTTTCAAGGAAGACTATTCCTGGCCATCGATATAAGATTGCCACCATGTCGCTCATCAGTGCGCGAACGGTGGGCGGTGTCAGCCAGTATGAGTGTTTGCACATGTGGAAGGCTCGTCTCAGCCTTTTGTTGAAAACGCGTATTGATACGCAAAACTGCGTACGAAAATGAGTAATACGAAGCGATATTTAGAGTAATGTCACTGGCCCGCTCAACTTGGTGCCAGAACGGACTTGGCCACCGCGCCAAACCGGCAGCCCTACTGACACTCACGGGTCCGCAATTTGCATGAGGACTGTAGATTCTAATCTCAAATCAGTCTCCGCCCTTATATAAGTGAAGTATATAAGGCGAAGTCCAAGGATAAAGATAATCCACATCTGAAGAGTATGTTCATCTTCCACAGACAGTCAGCACAAACTTGGTGGTCGTTACGTCGATCTGCCTGTCTCTTCGTCTGCGGAATATCCCTTCACATCTTAGTCGCTAGCTAAACTGCAAGCTCGTTCGGACCCTGGCGTGTTAGGGGGGATAGGCTTAATGAGGCTACAGCCAGTTCCCTACCATTTCTGGTCGCCATAGGAGAAGCTGGAGGAAGTAAGTCGCATTCGAAATTACGGGAGTCAAATGTTCATGGCACAAATAGTTCATCAGTTTGCTGTTTCATAGGATTCACCGTGCAATGCGCACTTTACGGTGCAGCAGCCAAACTGCCAAGTAGGCCATACTTTTTTTATAGCATGAGGCTCCGGAGCTAGAGCTTAGAAAGCAGCAGTACCTCGACATTTGACTAGTGATAACACTCGTCGTCGTATCTTCTTGTTGAGTAACATAAGCAGATAAGCGTTCGAGAAGGTGATCACATCGGAAGCATACGGTACCAAGAAGTCTGCTATACCGTTACCATCAGCTCGCTTGTAGATTAGGGCCTGAATTATGTATGGTTTATTCGGGTTAAAAACACTCTCCACTCTTCTCAATAAGGGCATTTCTGTACAAGTGGGCGGAGCTTTGACATTGTGGGCGGCGCTTCACAATACTGGACGGTTTTAACGACCTAATTCAACGGGTGAAAAATGGAAAAAGAACATATAAAGGTTCAAAAAAGAGGGCAATGAAGTTTCTGCTGGACGAGAGCATGCATATTGTGGGTGCGCTTTGTACATGAGTGCATAGAGTCATAGCTGTGAAAAACGGTCCAAAAAATGAAAAATGCCAAAAACCGAAATTTGGCAAAGATTCAAAGTCATGAAAAACAAGGGGCGGCATTGTGGGGGGGGAGGGTGGGAGGAGAGCGAGAGGAGTTCCCATAGTTGAAATTTTAAACGTGTTTTTTAGGTCAAAACCGGGAAAATATTCATAGCATGCAGTAGGCAGAGGCTTTCGAAAATCTGCGAAAAAACGTCCTTCGAGGGAGAGGGACTGTCGGGGGAGAGTTCCGCATGAGAAATTGCACCTGTGTTAAGTTACGTCATATTCAAACCAATTTGATGAAAGTTATTGAGAAAAATTGAAAAGTCATCTATTATGGGGGCGGGTAATGTTGGGAGCGTGCCTAAGAACCACTAACGAGGCATGGAGGCGCTCCACTTAAGAATCTTTCCCTTTCTCGTTCTTGTACCAAAAAAAATTTAAAGAGGCGCAGCTGGGTTGGGGGAGGGAAGGAGAGGGGAGGCAAGAGCATTTTCTTGGTTAGCTCCATCGCTCTTGTGAAAACATGTTGACCATTGTAAGCGCTGTGCAAAGTAGAACGAGCTTCACACTTGACATAATCCTACAGGTGTCCACTCAAAGATAGGGTGTAAGGCTGCGTTTATACTTTGCGGCAGCGTAGCGTAGCGCTTCCGCCGTGGAGAGGATGGATATCGATCTAGCGTTCCCAGCGTTTCACCAGCGTTTTGCTAGCGTTGCAGCGGCAGGGGAGTAGAGACTATGGGAGAGCTGGAGGGTACAAAACACATCGATTGCGCGTCTCTTACGGCCACATAGTCTCTACTCCCCTGCCGCTGCAAACGCCAGCAAAACGCTGGTGAAACGGCTGGTGGTGACGCTGTAATAGCGGAACGGCTACGTGTAGCGCTCGCATTACGCTCGTGATCGCTGGGACGTGCTAGATAGATACTTCGCATCCCTCGATCCCCGGCACTGCCGCTGGCGTACGCGGAAGCGCTTTACGCTGCCTCAAAGTATAAACGCAACCTAATTCACAGGGACTTGTGAAAGGGCAAAAGCCCCCCCCCAGCCGAAAAACGCCATTGGAGCAATGAAAAACTCACATAAAGTATGTAGAAGACGACTTGGATAAGAAAATCGAGAAACGCCAGGAAAAACATGTTCCTTTCAGCTTGGTCGCGGTATTGCTTGGAGCGAATAAAGAGCAAAGCAACGGAAACAGTTGCACTAGTCGGAAGTTACTACACAACAGTACAGTTTTTTAAGCAAGACGAAGAATTCTGTCAATAAATGGGGTAACATATTCTGAAAATAATTAGGTTTTTAGGCTCAAGTACATCCATGTCTCCGAGACGCGGTGGGCGTGGCTGCGGAATTCTTTTGGGCATGGCCAAGGATGATATTCGTGAGATCTTTCGATATGAGACAACTGTCATCTTGTCGTGTCGTGTTGGGCATTTACATTTTCTCAAAAAAAAAATGTCTTATCAAACCGCAGCTGCCCGCTGCGTTCATATGGAACGCAAAGCCACGCCTACCGCATCTAGCAGATATGGAGCAAACACAACATTTTGCACCTAGGTTTCGGTAATTCAGAACCCGTTTCTATGTGCAGACTGACCAATTTAGGCCGCATTACTTCTTATATCGAAGCACTGAGTCTCCTTGTTTATATAGAACCAACTGGAATGATAAAGCATCGGATGTACAGATATGAAGGGCGTGAGTAATGTGACAGCAACACTTCCCGGGAAGCAGTAGTTCCATATCTGAAAATAGAAGTCTTTCACGCCAGGCAGTCAGGGATCCTTTTTCATCTCTGCAGATTACATGGCTCAGATTCGAGCGCAGCCAGGGTAGCCTTCCCCACCACTCACTGAGAACTTATGAAGACGCCATCGATCATCACCGTCTAGAGGGACTAGGAAGGATCATATTGATCGGCGCTGTTTGTCGACGGGGGGGGGGCATTTTGTATTAATGCCATTGCCTTTCCCTAGTTTTTACTTTACAGATCTCACTCTTGGTAAACTTGTGAACTCTTGTGAACCTGAAGTAAGATCGTCTAGCCACTATCCTAAAACGTGTCAACTCGAGAAACGGCTGCCTAGATGGGTCGACACATCTATGGAAAGCAAAATGCCCCCCCGTCGACAAACTGCGCCATATTGATCTAGCGTCTACCAGCGTCCACCAGCGACCAGCAGTAGAGGGTATGGGAAGTAGGAGCGCAGCAGGCCGCTGATAGAGTATGGGGAACTAGGAGGGGGAAGACAGCCGGGTTAGGCGTCGTGAAATGATGGCGAGTGCAAACGCACCGTACTACTGCACAATACCGTACGCCTGGTCGTTGGACGCTGCTGGTGGCTGATGGACGCTTGATCAATGTCTATTCTACAGTTGTCCCGCGGACAGTGATGTCGCTGGCGGACAATGGTGGACGCTGGTAACTGGTAGACTCGGCCGTTCGCTAGGTCTATGTCTATAATTTCCTAGGTGCTGACGCTGACGAAACGCTGATGGTCGCTGGTGGTCGCTGGCGGGCGCTGCCGAAAAGTATGAACGCAGACTACTCGAATGGTGAGAGAGAGGCTAGACTGGCGTGTTTTTTCAGTTCGCTCTGCCATTTCAATACGCAGGGCTAACGAAGCGCATTCATGGTAGAAACGAGAGCGTTCTGGACACAGCAACAGTATTTTAGCCTCTTTTGAATAGATGAATCTTCCTAATGGTTTTCAGACATCTAGTCCCACCCCCAACCAACACTCCTGCAGAAGTTTGGTACGATCCATCCTATCCTACCGGCTGTCTTTTCAAATCTTCTCAACTTCCTACCACTTTTATCAGTTTCCCAGAAATTTTCCAGTCCCCCTTCAAAAAAACTACTGCTGAGCGAGAGCGGATTGGGACGAGTCATCTACTGATTTCAGCTTCTCGGGAATGCAGGTACTTTTCTAGCGGCTTCAACTAGAGGCGGAGCCCAGATGCGACCCTCTCATGAGTTCCTCCAGTGATGCTGCACTCTGGAGGTTTCGCATGCGCGCTTCAGTTCTTCCTTGCACAAATGCATCAGTGTCCTGGGGTTTTGGAGTTATGTGCAGCGGGCTACCACATGCCCCACACACAGGTAGATATAGTTTGGTTCGCCTGGGTCATTTCAGGGGAAATGGTTCGATAGGCGCGGCGCCAATTCGTTTTCCACCAATTGTGGTCGTTTGCCCTCTAGCAACTGGAGGAACGACTGGCGCTGCGCCAAACTCAGCCCTCTGACGAGAACGAGCACCCGCAGCAAAGGAGACTGCAGGCACTGGGAAATGAGCTCGTATAGAGGACTTTGAACGCAAATTGGACAATGGCGTCCAGGGTGCGCCGTGGCTGAGAAGTTGTCAACCCAGGGCACTTCACCAGAATAGTGTGGCACTCCTTTTTCCTCATAAAGGGTAACGTACCTTAACATGAAACGTCGGAAAAGCGATGACCGTCATACGATACAAAGAGACAAAAAAGCTCATATAGGTCTGCACGAAGGCAAAGTGGTACGTGAAGCTGTGCACCTGTAATAACCCAATAAACACAAAATTATGCAAAGCCAATATCCATAGGGGACTTGAGTGATGTAAGGGTGGTACTGCGAAAGAGGTTTTGTAAGGAAAGCCTTTGACTGCTCGAGTCCGGGATGGCGAAAACCATAGAATCTTCTCCCATTCCTGCCCCAACCCCCCCCCCCCGAGCGTTCCATTGGATTGAAACTTGTTGGCTGGAACTAGATCTGTCAAAGTCAATGAAAACGGATTTGTACACCCAAACTGCATGATAGCTTATCCTCGCTGCTCCACAGACCAACTGTCCTTTGGAAACCGCTGGGCTCCTCTTTGAAAGGAGACTTTCGCGGAAAGGTTTGACCGAAAAGCGCTTATTGTCTTTCATTACGATGTTTAGTCGATAATCAACCGCAATCAGTTGGAGCGGTATCAGAAAGACGGAATGAGCTCACCTCTGGCTGTCTTGTGCTACCACCCGTGCCCGGTGCTCGGTTAGGCCGTGTTCATACTTTGCCGCACCCTTCTGCAGCGTCCGCAAGCGACCAGCTGCGTCTCGAGAGGCTAGGAAGGTGTAAATGTCAACCTAGCGTTTGCCTGCGTCCACCAGAGTCCAGAATACGGTATTGTGTCATAGTACGGTGCAAAATGCCACGCCACAACTTCACGGCGCCTAATCCAGCTGTCGCTCCTCGCTCTAGTTCCCCATACATCTACAGCAGTCTGCTTACCCTCATCTTCGCCATGCTCTTTACTCCCGGTCCGCTGGCTGGGCGCTGACAGAACGTGGGAAGGATATTGTTTCGCCTAGATCGATGTCTACGTTTCGAGCATCCGTCGCTGACGCTGACGGACGCTCGAAACGCTAATGGTCGCTGGTGAACGCTGGTGGACGCTGCCGCAAAGTACGAACGCAGCCGTAGTGGACTGTTTAGAGAAAAATCAACCAATCGCGAACATGCCGCCCTCCCTTTTGAAACCTCCACGACTGACTGAGAGCATATCAGCTATAATGATGCTCTGGAACTCACACTCCCCCCCTCCCCTTTCAAATAAATTGAGGTCAAATTAAAAAGCTTCACTTACTATTGAAGTTATAAGTAGTGGCGTCGTGTTATAAATTCCACTCCACCAGCTGTCCTTGTTTGTGAGATTTGCCAACTGAATTGCGGTAGCAAGACGTATTACGATACCAAAACATTCTGAAAACTTTTCATTTGATGTTCAGAAGTCCAGAGATGAAGCGGAGGGGGGGGGCGTAAGTGAAACACTCGCCAAGAGTGCTTGTACAATCAGCAGCGAATAGAACCGTCCTGAGACTCCTTTTCGTTCCTTGAAGAGTGCTATAAGGACAATACACGTACAGAATACATGACGGAATGCAGTAGATGAATCTTACATAGATACGGTACTCGTACATATTTAGTTAACCTGAAAAAAACCGTCTTAGCTCGATTTGACCCATCACATTTCTTGTCCTGCGCAGGGTTACTGCACACATCCAGAGAAGAGCAAGACATGATGTGAATTGCTCAAAGGCACTGTTCCGCGATAAAAAGCGTAGGTGGCTGTGTGGAAATATGGAAGAAGGACTGTCAAGTGGCGAGTCTGTGAGATGAAGTGCCAGAGTAACATCGGCAACGCCTTCAGTGGGACCCCCCCCCCCAGTCTCAAACAATTCCACGGGTAAAGGCTGAAAGACGTGTTTGGGGACAAATTCAGTGGGCTGATTCCTTGTAATAACCACTATAACCTCTAAGAGCCAACAAAGCATCCACTTCATGCTACTTGTCCGAAAGCATCGATTCTGGTCGGAAGGCGAACTTTGAGGGCGGCGTCTGGAGGCGGAGTCACTGAATAATGGAAGCGCCACTATGGCCAAACTTTGTTCCTTAAAGCTCCATTGCTGTCAACTTTTTGCCGTCAAAACTCCTAACAAGTTGTCCCATTGGGCGCCTACATCGCCTTTCCACACAATCTTTTCCTTGTCATGGACGTCAATCGCAGACCGTTCTTCCGAGGCACAGCCGGTACTAAGCGAAGAGGCGTAGTTCCCCCCCCCCCTCCGACTTCCGGAGCCTGGATATCAATTGCCAAGGGAATGCCTTTTTTGCATTTTGGAAGTGCACAGAGTGCATGCAGCAATGCTCAACCTACGCCCAAGAGGACGCTCCTGACATCGAGAAGATGGAAGAATTCTAGGCGTAGGGTTTGTCTGGAAACGAAGATGCGCCGGGCTTCGTTCTCCTGCCCGCGGGCACGATCCTATCGTTCCGAAAGAATTCTGCGGAATACATCCTCTCTCAGAATTCTTTCTTCCCATCCGTTTCCCTCATCGTACTTACGATTTTCCTTGATTTTCCCATTTTCACACCTTTTTCAGGCTTATTCCAATTTTTTCCCATACCCTTCTGTTTTTCTTCGAAAACTGCCGGTGTCGGGGATGGGTGGGGGGCGGGAGAGGGTATATGCAACGGGAAGACCAGAAAAGTCAACAGCTTCATCTGGCAAGGAGAAGTAGTTAATGAGGCATTTTTCTATGTTTTTTTTTTCATTTTTTGTTAAAGCAGTAGGGCCAGACACACTTATTTCGAACTTACTTCCTATGAAAGACGAACATCTGGGAGGAGAGGGGAGAGGCTTTTCATTTTCAGCAAGTATCATCCCGAACGCCGCATTCTCAAGAATCATCCTCCCCAACGTCGGGACGTGCCCTAGAGAGATTTGGTTAGTATGATACTTTAGTACAACGGGGCCGCCCTGCAACTGGAGCCAATTTGGCGCTGCTGCAATGCCTCAACCAAAAAAAAAAAAAAACAACAACATCATTTGGTCATCAAAAAATGATTATTTTATTATTACCCTACATTCTCGCCTGCAAACTCAGAGGCTCATTTTTGACGCCCGGATGCCATTTGTCGCGTAATTATTGCTGCTGTAAGAAGACGGCCTACGTAATTCTTTCCAATTATGGTGCCCCTGCACCAATACACTTGAACGAATCTCATTTTTGTGGGCAATATGTCAATTGCAGCCCGAGTTCTCATAAAAATTTGGGCAGCTGGGCGACGGTGTGGGGCCATTTTGCCCTTCTGCTACTTCCCATGGACGTGTAGAGTAGAAAGCTACTTACTTCATGAGCTCACAAAAAGCTCACAGGTTTGTACCATGGTGGCTCGACAAGCTTGCTCCACTTCACGAGAGTTAACAGGTTTCACCAGAGTGAAACTTGCAAAACTGGAACTAGTGAAGCGGCGAAAGTGTTCTAAAATGCTCCCCCGTCGCCAAAGTGAGCCCACAAACATGCAAAATGCCAAATTGGGGCCCATTTGTCCTGAAGAGCAGCCCCTCCAAAGCCATTTCGTTTGGCTAACCACCCTTCAGACTCTTCAGCCAAAAAGATTTTCGTGCTCAGTTTTGGCCTAGAAGTGATCGGCAGTTTTTTGTTTGTCTTCGAAATAATTCAGTAAAAACAGTAAGTTTTCTCACATCAGTTTAGCGTTCCATCGCGCAGTTCGGGTGAGGGGAGGAATGTGCACTTGCCGCTAGTATCCATTGTTGTCTTTATTGCTTTTACAAACTTGACAGGTATTCTTCACAGACGTAGCCAAATATTTTCCACAAACTTCGACTGATATCTTTTCATGGCCAATCATGATTTCACAAGTCTCCACTTGAAAAGGTCGACTGAGTCGTTGCGGGAAGTGCAAAATGGGCCTCTCCCGTGGACCCCCCCCCTCGCGGACTGTCTGTCAAAAGAACAAGAAAAACAAAAAAAATCTACAAAAATCAATCGCAACTAGAAAAAGGAGCGCGTCAATGTGTTAACGATTTACAATTGTGAAGACTGTTACGCGAGGAAAGGGGAAAGATTAAAAATCCTTCTTTGTAATAGAAGAAATTAGTTGTGATAAGATAATATGCGCAAATTTTTTGCTCTGCTCATTCTGAGAAAGCTGATAATGAGCTTCAGTAAGACATCACAAACATGTTGAGTGAGTTTATAGCGACGTAATTCTTGCAATTTATGTTACAGTTCTTTGATGTCACCATGGGTTTTGGAGCGGAAAAGCTCGAAATATTGCATGGTGGCTAAACAACGAGAGGAACAAGAGCAGAAATAGGACGCTTCTCCCGAATATCAACGCACTCGTCCTTCCTGCCCTTGAAGTCGATCCAGGAAGTCCGAGAAACAAATTGATGGGGCGCCATCCTACAGAAACGTGAGTCAGTGGGCCGTCATGCTTTTTATGCAAGGCTCTCCTGATGTCTGTAAAGTGGGGACATCCTCTATGATTGCGGGCTCTGTTATCTCGTACGCCATAGCGCTGGCCATTGAAGACGAGCTGCACACTCAGCTTGAAGGACGGTCCTTCACCGAACTGCACACTCACCTTATAGGACGGTCCTTCACGAGGGCAGTTCGGCGACGGGGAGCATTATGCCATTTTTGCCTGCACAAGTGCAAACACTCCACCAGGAGTGCGGACTTGTAAACCGGAACCAGTGAAGCAGTGAGAGTGTAGAATGACCCCTCCCGTCGCCAGACTGCGCCGTCCTTCACATGTGCAAGTGAATGGGTAATGTGCCTCTACGCGTTGAAGCCTGAAGAGCTAGCCGGCATCGTGGGCGTCGTCTGCATATTCGCCCGTGTAGCTTTTGCGTTGATACAAGGTCCTGCAGCGAAACACTTACTCTGCGGTAGAGAACCATCAGAAGTGGGTAGAGCGCGGACAAGTAGGGCATTTGGTTCTAATTCGGCTTGTGGCCGGCCGTGCGCCAGCGCGCGGAGTAGCAAGTAAACTACCGGGGTGTCCCTAGCTGCGTTCCGGGAAAGTGTACGTCCTTGCACGAGTGACCTTCTCCCCATATAGCGTGCAGGAAACAGGACCACGAACAAGATACCAATTGTCCTTGGGCTATCAGCCTGCCGAAAGGTCGGTAGAGGCACCATTGGGAGACCAAGACGTCTCCACAAGTACAGTCGAAACCAGAGGTGGTAGCATGCCGCCCGCAACACTGAACTACCTCACGGGCCATCTAATCGAGAAAGTCAGGACCTAAGGATTGAGCTTGCAGGGTTAATCAACCTTCTTTAGGATGTGGCAAGCATTCGACTTTAGAATTGCGCTGCCTTAGTAAATCTCATATGCCCTACACAGCGATTTGCAGGGATCAGCCAACGTACAAGTCAGTGCTTTCACCCTCTCAGACGATTTGTACCTTCTGGTGCCATTTCACTGTCTATGGAAGGTAGAAGGCTTTGTAAACTTGCACGGGAGCGGAGCCTGAATTTAACCCCCAAAGAGCACCATGGTAGACGGAAATCAAAGAAGTAGCCCGAAATTATGGCGAGCTTCCTGAGCGGAAATTTGAATGATCAGCTGTTCAGCTGTTGGAGGTTGATGATTGCTGAAAAAGCTGAAAATCACCTGCTAACCAAGTCGTACATCGCAGTCCTTGACCTCTGAGACGTGCAACTCGGAAGGAATTATTCTATTACCAATTATAATAGATCAGGTGTCGAATGCTCCGATTGCACGTGTTGTCATTCCTCGATGCTATGGGCTCCATTAGGGGCAACGTGGACCGAACAGCAGAAACTACTATTTCACTACACCCAACTTCGTGTCAAAGGCAAATGGCACGATGAATTCCCAGGACGCGTAGGATAAATACGCCAGGAGGTAATTCGGCCCTCTTGAGCAGGGCAGGCGCTGCGTGCGTGCTTTTCCTTGGATGGTACCCTTATAGCGTCCTATCAAGCTGAACATACCGACCCGGACGCCCACCGCGCCCGCCGCCCACAAATGTCCGACCGATGCTGGTGCTCGTATCGCTTCATTTGTGAAGTACAACATGAAGCGAAGGGATTGATATGAAGCAGGGCGGGCTGCATGGATGTATGACTACATACATGCAGCCCTATTTACCGTAAAGGTTGTTGGTACGATGCCAGCGGGAAACTCGTCCGATATTGCCGTCTGGGTCGTGTAGAACAGAGTCTTTAGGTTTATCGACCATTTCACTTTGCTTTTTCGCCATTTTCCCCCCTATATAAACCCCTGCTACCATTTCAGACCGAGTGCCAAATTATCGTGCCTTATGCCTCCAAAGTACAGCTGATATCATCGCAATCCGGCGAGGAGGTGTCAGAAGGCGTGGAATGAGCACACCTACGGCTAAATTTTCTATCAATAGTAGTCGGTTCGAGTGGAAGATAACCAGTGGTAGACAACGTCACGGCGAGAAAATTCCACGGCTTTACTGTTCCCAGCCTGATTGCCGCGATATCAGGTGTACTTGTAGCCATGCCTAAAAGGGAACCGGTGCCGGTGAGCCGTACTCTGGGGTCATGGCGTATACCTTGTACCCACTAAAATTCAGACAGCTCTGAGCAAAGCAGCAAAAAATGCGTCCAACTTTCCAGCACCTTAGCCATTTCGTCGTCTCGATTTCCGACTACGAGTTCGCGGATGTCTTTCAACATCGCCCAGTTGCCCTCCAGAATAGTCAAGCGCTGCTCAGGTTGCATTCATACTTGGCGAGCTATCGTGCGATTTGAACCGCTGCCAAGCGCGACCCACCGTTAATCACTGGACCGGTGATAACAAACCAATAGAGATTCCATTCCGGTTGCGTAACAAATGGCAGTTGCAACATTCCTACGATGGGACGTTCAGCGCAACAGGTCGCAGTCGCACATAAGAGAACTGCAAACCGCTCCACTCGCAAGGTATGAACGCGATCTCAAGCCGATGAGAAGCATCGACTTCGTGATAGGCCAGACTTATCAACCATCACATAGTCAGGATATGCTGCCAGAAAAAAATTGAACTCTGAACTTCCGCATGGCGCACTCTGGCTTTCACTGACGCCAAGCGGCTAGCGGTTTATTTGTGAAAGTTTTAGTTTTTTTTTTCACGACCATGAAACCGCTTTCATACTCTGCGATCCGATCGCGCGATTCAAGCGATCGGATCGAGAAGTGAGAAACGCACTCTAATAGCCCTCACCGTACATCAGCATAAAACCAAATCTATTTTAGTTCCATCAACTTTAGGCGAATCTTGCGCATAACCAATCATTACCACAATTCTGTGAAGAAATATTCATTTATTTGTTTATTTATTGCCTCTAATTCTTCGGGAGGTAACTTTGTGGTGAATACTGTCATAGGGAGTGTTTTCGTTAGTTGGAGACCTCCATATGTTCTGAACAGATGATGCCTTTCCATAACGCGTGAGACCTGAAATGATCTGTATTTTCGAACAAAGTATGTACATAAGAAGAATTGATTCTGAAGAAAAAATCAAAATTGAATTATTTCTCAAATCAGAAACAACTGTGGTAAAATTATCGTTCAAACACCTTCGCGATGACCCCAGCGGGTGGAATTCTTCCGGTTCGCAATGAGTAAGTCCACAGCTGTAGACGGAATGTCGCACTAATCACTCCCATCCCATCCTCTCCGAAAAGCGCGCTGAGAATGCTAGCGTTTCGTGACTTAGGTCCGACTCCGCCCACCCCTTTCGCTCAGCGTCTCTGCGTCTCTACCGAGCGCGTTCGCGTTCCTTGGGATCTTCTGCTTTCCTTTTGGATAAGACAATCAACACCAACCGTTCACAGTTGAACGCGCCCGTCCATGAAGTGTGGGGCCTACAAGGTGTCAAATGAGGTCTGTAAGGCGTCTCTTATAGTGAGAGGGAGTTCCATTGTTTTTTCCCAGTCCCGGGAAGTCCAGACTACTATCCACAACATCAGATAAAATTGCAAGTCAAGGATAACAGGCGGTATACAGTATCCCAAAACTACGCGTAAAGATGAATGTGTCGATCCCTTGAACGCACACAACTGTGTGTGCTGCAATCTCTGGTCCAATTAGTCGAGTTTAAGGAACGCCAATTAGCCTGTGTTATAGCATCTCGAGCACTTACTGGCTGATGAACCTTCCGCCATAGATCCGCAGAAGAGTAGAAAGAGTCAAAGGAACGCTGAGAAGCAACAGCGAGGCAGACCGCAGCCTCCATCCCTGCCGAAGCCATGGCGATAGTGCTGGCTATCGCGCGATGGAGGATATGGCGCGCTTTCATGAGCCCAAACATCTAAACCGACAAACAAATTCGGGGTACAGTACTCCCTGTACTATACTAAACTTGTAATTTGACCAGTGAGCAAGAAAGAGAGAAAGGAGGGGCCAGGGGAAAAAGGCGAAAACTACCATTTAGAGACGAGTGAGAACACGTCATCATACAGTGAGAGCACGATGAAGGGGGAGGAGGCCGTCCTCTGTGGGCGGAGTCCGACTACCTATTGTCGGTCCTACTAAGCGAGGTGGCACACTGTTCGCGTAGCGATGTCTGGACAGGTCCAAGTGAGACACGCATCCTGTTCACAAAGCGAATCTGCCTGCAAATGCCGCATCGTGGTTTGCATGAACACACTACGGGGGTCCGTGCTAATTAAGTGCCTGAGCAGTACTTTTGGTGGTATTTCCACATTTCTCTTACCGGACGGCTATGAAGGGGAGGTACTTATTGGCGGCGGCCGTCTGCAGGTGAGCAAAGGGGACAGGGTGCAAAGTATGCGCAAAAGAACGTCGTTTAGAAACCAGTGAGACCTAGCCTGTTCCCGCATTGAGGCGTTGAGTATACAGTAGTTGAGAGTATCTCTACTTGAACCAACCTAGTGGAAAGGCCTCTCAAATATTGAATAAGATAAACAACCATCTAAGAAAGTAAAGCCCGCTCGACATTCCGTTCGCGCATTTGATTGTAGCCTACAGCTTTGAACGCAGCTTCTGTATTAAGGAGACGAGAGTCGCCGTTGATAATCCTACAACGATCCGACGCGACGAAGGATACAGGCGAGCCCCGACAATACCCCCGTGATACATCGGGGCGGGAGGGAGTGGCGTGGGGGGAGCGATATATGAACAAAGTATTAAGCGGGCCCCTCGACGGAAAATTTCGGCTGGAATTTGAGATGAGAAATTATGGGGAGGGCTCGTATTCGTTCAAAAGAGCATATGGCAGCAGCAGCACGGACCGCCGCCGTGCCGTGCTCCTCACCCCTTTCGTGTTATTTGTCTATTCTGGTCCTCCGTCATCGGGCTTTTCCTTCCCGCTTCTTTTCATGATAAGTCTGCACACCAGGCTCAAAACGAGGTTACAAAAAAGCTATCACTCCAGTCTGCCCCCGTCTCCTCGTTTTATTCCTTCTCCCTTGTAAAACTTTTTTTTGAACGGATCAACCAATATCGTGACCTTTACCAGGATTGGCTCGTCGCTGTTGTCCAAGTCCAGACTGCCATAACTAAATTCTAATTGTGCACATGGCAAGGGCTTTACTAATGGAACGCTAGGAGCTGCACATTTCGGCGCGAAGCACCCAAGAGGTGGGGACGGAGAGCGACTGTCGTTGATACTTCGCTATTCGTATATTCTCAGATTCACTCATACGATTGGTACGCAGCTTTCTGACGTCTTCCAGAAGTACACATCAGTCTTAAAAATCTCATCTACACCGACTTTCCCGAAGCGAGGCTGTGCAAAGGAACATGTCTGGTGTAACACATGAAATCACTTTTCCCTTCACGTTCCGCGTCCATGCTTCGAACACTCTTGGCCAACTTTTAGACTGACGCTCCTCTTTTTCTGCCCTCTAACCCCATAAAATGGGCACTTCCAAGGATGTTCTCCAATGTGAACTCATGGAGGTTAAAACTGAGTGCTTCACAGCTATACCGCCATCCCTCGGCAGGGCCTTCTGACGCGCTGAATGGCACGACGAAATCGCGAGACCAAATAGGAGAGCGACTGGTCAGTAGTCAAAAGCGTAACCACGTTTGGAAACTTCCCCCTGCACACCATTGCTGAAAGTCTGTTGTCGAACGAACACGATTGGTGTCAAGGAAAGAAGTCTTCTAGCACAGAGAGATACTTTCAAAAGCGAACTCTGACCGCCCGCCTCTCCCGGAAGCTCGGCGCCAGTGACCTAAGTAAGCGGCGCCCCTTCCGTCCATGCCGCCTTTGCTTTGAGTCGCATGCAATACGGTCCTCTTAACCTTTTGTGTACACGATACTATTCGCTACGAATGGCTGACGGTTCCTTTCTTGTCTTCCTAGACCCTACGCCCGCGTCCCCTGACACTACCCCAACGTAAGCGCTTAACCGGGTCTAATTTTTCTTCCTTTTCACAGTATAAAAATCTGCAACGGTTTCCGATCCTTATGGCCTGACTACTGCACCGTGTCTTTCGTCCTCCCTAGAATAAAAAGCTAAAAGGTACAGCATGTGCCGACCTGCGCGTGCCATACAGGGATGGCAGGCCCACGGTCGGGCGATCGGGGGGGGCGAATAAATAGTGAGTTGCCTCGAAGCCGTGCCCTAAATTTCTGGGTGCCGGCGTGGCATCCGCGGAGACTAATTGCAGACCGTGCAATGCAGGAGACAGTAGATACAGGCGCAGCGCAAGAAATGGCGGTGCACAAAAGCAGAGGCGATGAGACATCCAATGATGATGGGGAAAGTATTTTGAGTTCGGCACAAAAAACCTTTGTGGGCGCGGGCGATGTCTATCATCGTAATCGGATCACGCCTCGCCGCGAGAACTTATCCGCCTCGCGCCGGCGCGGCGGGATGAACGAATGTCTGCGGACAATCCGGGGACGAGTTTCGAGCTTCTGCATTCCGTGAGATACCAATACAAGTGGAGGTCTCGCTCGTCAGGAGCGCAGGCACCAAGTTGACCCGAAACAGCGCCAAAAATTGATACAGATAGATTCTTGAAACTCAAATAAACGTGGGACCCGAGTCTCACACCCTCTCACTTTTGAATGGCGGAAATACAACAATCATTCGACTCACCATTTTTTTTGCACAGTCAAAGATACATTAGAAAAAGCTGCTAAACTACCTATAATCACGGGACAAGGAAGCTATGGCATTAACCATGACACAATAGTGCTGTGAGTGATCCTATGGTTCTAGCGGAAACTTTCAGACGAACGTTCGGGGGACGCAGGAGGACTCCGGTACCGCGGGCTGCGGCCGCCACCAGAGCGCGGCCGACGCATCTATATATCCGACGATAGAATCCGCCACAGCCCGATCACCCATTTTTTGTTAGAGGTACTGACTCCCGTCAAAAGCAATTACCCCTTCAACATGGCGCTGTAGGGACTCAAGACCGTTCACAATTCCTTCATTACTTCAATTTCTTCACTTCTTGCAGCTTCTGCCAAAAGAAAGAAGCGCTGTCGATAGGGACCGCTAGATGCACAAAGCCCCACAATTCCCATCCTTGTGGATAGTGGGCCGATTAAAACTATAGGCCGCTAGATGACTCCCCAGCAAGAATACAAGCAAAAGAAATGCATCCAAATACGCGGCCCCAAGAATCTGCGCGATCGCTCTTTGTACTGAGGTTCCTCGAACCTGCTTATGTGCTAGGAACGCGAATTCTGCCCCTGACGTCCTAATCGCTCTCCGCGTCATCCAGTGCTTCATCTAGTCCAGTCGAATAAAACGAAAAAACCATGGTGTCCAGGCTTCGTATTTCGTGAAGAAAGTAGTCCCTTACGAATTTTGGTGCGGCAAACTAGAAATAGCTGACACTACCTTCTTCAAAAATGCTTCAGTGCGATCGCCCTTGCTGGGAGCTCTCAAACCCTACTGTGAGTATAGGTGGGCAGGTGACCTACACGTCCATTATGTCTATTCCCTTCAGTCATTGCTGTCAAGGCACTTAGTATTTAGTTTTTCCTCTTCTAACGAGCAAGGGTTCATTTTAAAGTAGATCTGCTTCAGCATACACATTTTCACCCCGGTTCCTCTGCGAATTCAAATGGACTGCTCGAATTTTCTAGGAGAACAAGGCAAACAACACCTGGAAGCGTACAAACAGAATCGCACAGTTCTTCAAGAAAGAAATAACAATATGACAACCATGTAGGTCGGTTTCTTGAAAGAAATCGCTAAATTATGAACGCACAAAAAGAATCACATATTCAGGTGTTGGACGATCAGAAAAAGGCGTTATCTTCCGACGGATGTACCCGACAGCATGGAGGTTCTTCACCACATGTACTTCGTGCGAATTGTCAGCAAGGTGAGCATTGTGCAAGAAAATGAAATGATTTGACATCAAGCTCCGCTCTTGACTTCTTGGTGCCTTTACAGCACAGCACGTTGGCATTGCTAACGACATTGCATCAAGAGCGTGGTTAAGGCAAAGCCCGCGACCACAGATTGTGGGTAACGGAACCCACATAGGAACGAAAAAGGGCTAGGTATCTGATTAGCGGAGAAAAGCAGCAGAAAAACAGCCGAAAATGCCCTAAATAGGATTCCATATCGACCCCAACTTGTACATGCATGCAATGGCATCAGGAAGAGCGGTAAAGACAGCTTCACGCCGATAAAAGCTGGCCAAGAATAATTGCTGATGCAGTCATATGAAAACAGTAGGCTTGCATAAGTAAATTCCTGCAAATGAGGAAAAAAGCAAGACAAGAGCCCTCAAGAACACCACAAACGGACATTGCTCCCTTACAGTTTACATCCGCCCTGCGATCCGTGGGCAACCCCTGGCTCGAAAATCTCTTTATCACATCTCTCAGTAGTGGATATCATCCAATGCAATGAAAAGAATACGAAAAAACAATAAAAACTCGGAAGAAAAAACTCGCTCGAAACAGGCCAGAAAAATATTCAAAAGACACTAAGCCGTCCGAATTTGGGTTACGGTAGCGAGCGGCTTTCAGTGCATGTTGCTAGTCGAGCTTTTGCACCACAAAAATTGCATCACTCGTGATTTTCTATGCGTTTTTACCTTACGAGATGGTTGCATTTGACTGTATGTGCTCTCAATGAATGAAATGTGATAAAGGAGAGCAGAGTTATCTAAGGGCACCATCGCGGTCTGCAAAAATGACTTGCAATCCCGGTATTGCCCGCCGTCGCCCAAACAAAGAGCAAACTGAGGCGGCTCTCCCGTCCAGAGGCAGCTAGCAAGGCGCACTGAGCGGGCCAACTGAGAGGGCGTCAGAACTAGAACGTTGAGCGGGGCTGTAGCTCCGCTTCTCGCCATGGAAACTACTCGAGGCGTGGGGGCTGTCTTTAAGTCGCGAATAACTTCAAACTGGAACGTAGAGGGTGCTGTTTTACACTACAAGTGGTTCCGTTCGGACTCTCTCATACCTCTCTAGCCGCAACCACTAGTTGTGTATTTTCTGAGGTCATTATTGAGCTGACTTACAACAGATAATCAATAAACAACCGATCACCGCTGATAGAGAATGCAGGCGCGGGGGCATTCCACCACACGGTCCCGGCCGATGGCGACGATAACCAACTATGCACAAGAAAAATGTCGCGGCGAAACAGGCGTGGGAAGGCAGCCTGGTCTAACCTGGACGGAATCTTATAATATAGCTGGAAATTGTTCTCAAGCGTCGCTATTGCACTACACTGTCATGCCCGTGCAGTTTTGCGGTGCAGAGTATTCGTCAATGACCAGAGAATGGTTCCAACTACCTATGGATTTGATAGAGAATAGGAAGAGGTTCGCTGTACCGTACAGGTTGGTTGAGCTAAGCTTGCAAAATGTCACTCCGTGATCAACAAGAGCCGTCAGATTTTCTGTCTCATGGATGTCACACTACTGGATCAGCCACATCCGGTAAAAAGGTAGAAGGTGGAGACGAGTGGTGAGAAGCTCTTTAGCAAAAGCAGGAATCAACGCAAACGGAATCGGAGCGTATAAATCAGTCTGGGAACGACCCATGTGGAAAAATGAAAATAGCGGACTTCAATATAGACCGGACTAGAAGTGTTTTCATCGGCGGAACACCCATTGGGATGCTTCTATGTTCTCGTGGGAAAGGTGTAGCTAAACGCCATCCAGGAACGCTGGTCGCTATTTCATTTTGTCCCAGTCTGAAACACCTCTCCAGACGGAGCATTCCAAATTTTCAGCAGGATGTTAACCATCCCAAGGCTTTTGACGGTGTCTCACCAAGTAAAGGAAGAAAATAGAAATAGAAAATTTCCACAGATAACACCCAGATGTCGACTGTCAGGAGGTTTCGGCGGCTTTGAAGACAGTTCCTGTGATCAAGTGGTCCGCAAATGCATTTGGAATCGTGGTCCGCATTCGCAGAGAATGTACCACTTTCGTCACTCGAAACGGCGAGATAAAGAAGCTAGAGACGCGTGATTATTGCAACCATTGCAACCACGATTACTTTCACTCTGCAAGACAACGGCTTACAAGCGGAATTGCGTGTGTACATAGCGTTGCCTGGAGCGTCGTAGGGTGATTTCCTGTATAGCACAGTGGAACAAGAAAAACCGCAGGAAATCACAACGGAGAAATGTTCCCCCTACACTGCACATTCCTCTCATAAGGCCACGCAACATCCCCCTTCCCCTCAACATCGAGCAAATACGACCTCCCCCTTGTGGTGTCCGTGATACAACGAAAATCAACTTGCAAAAAAATTTTTCTCAGACTAAATACGACTCCCCCTCTTCTGCCCACAACGAACATATGCATATGTGCCCCCTCCTTCAGTTGGGGAATTCAAGTGATGATGTGCCCTGTTTTGAAACCCGCCATCCGAGGGTTTTAAAGAAAATAAAACAGATGGCCAGCCGCGATATAGATTTCGTATTTGGTAGGCTTATTTTGCATTTCTACTATTGTTTGCAGAATTACGACTTTTTGGAAGAAGTGATGGCCATGATGTACTCGCCACTTCACTTCTACTGCTTTGTCATTGATAGCAGCGCGTCGCCAAGGTTTGAGGAACTGGTAGGTTCTCTTCAGATCATTGGCCATAGGCTTCGAAAGAAATTGATGTTCAGGTGCGAACCCTTGGGCGGTGTGTCCTAAACATTATTGTACCGCCGAACACTTACGACACTAGCACTGCTCGTGGTACATTCTTAGCCATCAACTCTTGTTATGTGGGAATGGAAGACTTCCCTTGGAGGCACACCATTATTTCAGAAGTAGGTCGCGTTTTTTTTTGGCAAAGAGGTCCATTGCAATTTCCATGATTTTTTTCAGGAAAGTGAGATTCCTATACATTCGGTTCACTACATTGCTGATAATGCTAAAAGACTTCGTGACGCTGCGCGAATTGGGAGAGTGACGATCTCTGAGGAGCACGCAAGAATCCTCGGTGACGATGACTTTTTTCAAAGCCAGCCACCAGGACCAAGGTCATTAGTTTTGTCTTGACGTTCATTCCACCGTCTCACATTTTTCTTTTCTTTTAGAATATTTACGGCGGACGATATGTAGTTGGCTTGATAATCGACGCTTCCCACTGGTATTGCCGAGGAGTTTTCAAATCCCGCTACTGAAATTCGTGGGCGGACAAAACTTTGAAAATTGTCAAGTAAGTGCTTTGTTCCACACGAAATCGAGTAAATTGCTTCTTTCCGTCTGTGCCTGTGGAAGGCCCTCTTGAAATAGGCTATTCCATCGTGTAAAGGGCCATTTTCTTTTCCTTAAATAGCAAATTTCTTCTTGGCTTCACTGGCGCATAATTTCTTTAAAGACAGCTCCCGCGATAAAAGTGTCATGGATAGTTGCTTTTCAATTATGAAACAGTAGCTGATAAGTAATCTCCCAAAGAAGAAAACAGGCAAGAAGCGTCCTCCAGAACAACAAACAAAATCGCTCCCTCACAGTCACACCTCCCTGCGGTCTCTGTGCAACCCCTAGCTCACAAATCTCTCTATCACATCTCGCAGTAGTTGATATCATCCAGTGCAAAAAAAAATACAAAAAAACGCACAGGAAAAACTCTTGGAAGGAAAAAGAAATTTTAAAAACTCAGTGTCCGAATTTTGGGTTTACGGTAGCGCACAATTTTTAGTGCACTGAAGTGCGTCGTGCTTTTTGAAGCCACGAAAATTCACTCGTGATTTTTACGCGTTTCACCTCGCGAAATGGGTTGAGTTGAATGTATATGCCCCCATTGAGTGAACTGTAATAAAGGGAGCAGAATTATCCATGGTCACACGACGTGCGTCGAGAGCAAAGGAGATGCCAATTGGTCCATAGGTTTACAGCATAGTGGGTTTTCGTCGAGAGTCTTGGCCCGAGTCCAGAGTAAGTGCCTGAGAAATTTATGCGCGGGTTCGAAGTCCCGCCGCGTGGTCCGATCATTTGCTCCGACAACTCAAGCCGCAGTTGGCGGCGGATGCCGGTGAAATGTATATATCTATCTAAGAATGCCTGGGACGATGGTGTTGCAGCAAGATGCTCGCGGAACCACGGGGCGTGGAGTCGAACGCGGCCAGTTCTATCATGCATTACGCAGGGCAAGTTGCTGTCTAACCAAAACAAAAACTACTAACGGTCTACTAACCGGCACGCCTTTGTAGCGTGAATCAGTCTCAAGGCGCATATTTCCCGTGCCATTGACGCTGAGAGGTCAAAAGTAGTTTGGCCGGCCTAGCGTAAGTCATCGTAACGCCAACGGTGCCCGGTACAGCCAGAAGATGGCGGACGAGGCGAATATTCTTCGAGTACCCGCCGTGGTCCGACGTTTTGCCCACAACTCAGCATTCTTGTGATAACTTTCGCAATTCCGATTAATGCCCGCCGCCCCAACTAAGAACAACTGAGTGGCCTCGTCGGAGGGCATCTAGCAAGTAAGGCGGTCCAACTGAGCAGGCGTTAGAACTAGAACTTTGAGCGGCTGTAGCTCGCTCCCCGCTCAATGTGAGTCGAATAGAGTAGGACAGTCTCTAGCTTGGGGCTGTACTACTTGCACAAGGGGACGACCATGTACTACTCGAGCGCGAGGGCTGTGCTTTGCAATAGGCAACTTCCTCCGCCCTTCCCCTCCCGTCGAAAGGGTGATGAGCATAGGATCAACGTTGAGGATAGCCAACGGCCTAACCAATGTAAGCTGATATTTTCAAGTTGGGTCCACTCGACAGACTGCAGCTCTTCCACGCCAATCAGCTAGATGCCTGATGTGTATGCAGCGCTTGTGACGCCGCTTGTCAATGCGCCTTTGCCGCGACTCTGCGACGTCGGAACGTAACGTGGCCTCAAAAAAATGCACTATGCAAAAAAGCTAAGGGAGCAGAATAGACACGATTCATGAAACACCTACGCTGGGAAGTGGGCGGGTAAGTTTGGGCGCGGACTTGCGGCAATACCTGGTGTGCTCTCGCTTAACCAAACTACGCGAGTATCAACGGTGTTTCGATTGGCTTAAAAAAGTGTCGCGATATTCGATGAAAATGGCTATATCTTTAAAAAATATATCGTTTGACATCACAGACGCAAATCTAGCTGAAAATAGTGTGTGGTGAAGTGACAATAAAGGCAGTTGGCACGATAATTTGGTACTCGGCCTAAAATGCTAGCAGGGCGCTATATAGTGGTGGAAATGGCGAAAGATTGGAGTGAAACGGTCCAGAGTCCTGCTGGGGGAAAGCCTCCGTTATCAAAGAATTTAAGATCATTTTTGGACGAATTTTCCATGGGCATTTTGCCAATAATCGCTATCGAAGATACAGCTGCTTGCGTGTGCTCATATATCCATGCACCAGCGCCGCCGCTTCATATTAATCCCTTCACAAATAAGTTGCTTAGCAAATGAATCAATGCAAATGAGCCGTCGGGAAACGGTCGTCCATTTGTGGGCGGGTGGGCGCGTGGAGGGCGTTCGGGTCGGTATGTTGTAGCTTGATAGGGCCCTATAAGGGTACTTTCCTTGGAAAAGGCGCTACATAGCGCCTACTCAGGAGCGCGGGATTCGTGTTCTGGCCAGGTGTATAATCCCACTCGTCTTTAGCGGATTCGTGCTCACAAGCCTATTCAAAACAAAGAAGCTCCGCCGGATGGTGAATTTTTCCAAGCGGTGTCGCTGCTAATCGGCGGGTTAGGCTTGCAGGCCTCTTAAATGCACAAGCGACTCGGTAGTGTGTGGGTACAGTATCTTCTCACTGGATACAAGGGGCCAGCATATGTTCCCTTCTTTCCCAGTTACCTGATCCACGCACTTTGCTGCGTGACTAGGAACGCCGAGCCGGATATAACTGTAAAGGTAACTACTAGATAGAAAAGTAATCAGGGATTTGAAGAGGCTGGAATACAATGTGTGAAAGAGTTCGCAATTTCGGAATTTCAGCCGCTGTCTGTCTGTGGATTTCGATAGGAACGTCGCATTGGATGTGTGCCGTACGAATCGCTACGACAATAGAAGCAATTGTGTCGTTGGTATGGAGGACTACGATTATGCGACGTGAGTATACCTTGATTCAAGGAGAAAGGGCTCAGGAAAATTCTGCTTGGAACTGCTGCTTTAATCATTAGGATACAGCCCAATTGTAGGTCTAAAAGCAGAGTAAAATAAGGAGAATTTCTTAGAAGCAGGTTTGAATAGCGCTTTGAGCCATGTCGGGAAATTTGCCCTCAGGCGGTCAATACATAAAGATAGACACTTCATGTCTCGGCATTATGGAGGGCGTGGCAGCTTAGTTCATTCGAGCGTGGGTGGGCAGCTTTCGTAGCATAAGTGCATTTTTGCAAAAAATCGTAGTCATGTCTTCTTCAAGCATAAACGGGGTGTGAAAAAGCTCCGATGTCCGAAGAAGGGATGTCATATCCCGTGTTAGCCGACCAGGGACTCCGTGTAACCCCTATAGGCAAGATTTTTTCAGAGATTTATTGTAGTTTTGGGGCACTAAACCCTTGAACAGAGCCCAAATTTATACATCATCTTGACCGTTCCTGGATGGAGTCACCCGTTGTCGATACGTGCTTTCAGGAAATCGCGTAATCTGTTCGTCAAAGCGGACCCAAATTTTGACCACGGAATCGTTCAGTGTGTCAACGAATTCGTCTATCGCCGAACATACAAAATGGACCATGAAAACATCATCTACGGTTGATAGAGCGACCTTTGGAGAGCTCACACAATAATACCTCCTATGGTATACTTTTGAGTATGCATACCTCGTCTAGCATTTGACATTCCAACACGGGCTAATAATTACTGATTACATGGTATTAGCGTTTCTTTCATTTTTGATCTGATTTTTATGCACCTGAACTCCCACTCACACCTGCCTGGATTAATATTCTTTAATCGATAACCTTATCCCGGACTGTTACTTTAGGCTAAGAGCTTAATGGCATGTAACAACTTTTGCGACGACCTACCGAACGTAGTGACCTTTAGGAGTGGCACTGCCTCTGCCAACTCTATGCTTATCATGACCACTTTGAAATTGCTGCATCAAGCAGTCATCATTAGGCTCAATTCCTATTTGATACGTTTTGTACATTGTTTACAATAAAGTGTTTATTTTAACGTTCCTACTGCGAATATTTCGAATCCCAGGTCGAACACCCTCTCAGGCCAACCAAGCCTTCTACCCTCCGGGGACGGTAAATTGGTACCAGATTCGTCTGGGAGGATAAAACACTGACTTGTACATCGGCTGGCCCCGCAAGTCATTGTATAGGCCACATCGCATTCAATAAGCCACTACGATTCTGAATGGAAGTAGAATGCGTGCCGCATCCCACAAAGGGATTGATCAACGGCGAAGACTTTATCCTTTATCCTTTTACTGCGAATATGCGGTCTCACTAGCTGCTACTGGCACAGATGCGGAGCTCAGGAATAACGACAACCAATCGCTGAGTCGAATCCTTCGCTGACAGTTAATGGTTCCGCATTACTCTTTCAGTTACTGGAAACCGTATTCATGCAAACCTGATGAGATCACACAGGCTCCCATACCAGATTATTATCATCTTCATCGTCTTCTGAAGGCCAGCTATGGTATAAATCAAGGTCTGCATTGTTTTACCATTCTAGTGTTGGGAAGTGCTGTGAAATTAGCAGTTGCTCTTGTTTAGCGGGATTTGAAGAGCTGACTGGTTACGATGATTGTAATTACCGCTTGACTAACATCCTCTGGGAAACGGGCATCGGTCCCGCTGAAGCCATTCTGAAAGTGTCGAAATTCCTCCCTGAAAGCGAAAATGTGATCAGAACATCGGTGGGGTTCTAATTTTCTTGACTTTTGCTCTTCAAGCTCTGTGTAGAATCACTGAGGTATCTAGATGCGCTGAAGTGACTTATTTGTGACAGCTTCTAACCGTGTGCTGATCCCGCTCTTGTGCGAAACCAGTAAGACTGAAGAGCTGGTCTGCTTGATTGAATGCTCAAAAGTAATCTTCCAAATTCTATATAACATGCGCTCAGTGCGGGGGCGTGGTAGGCAGGGCGCACCATTGTTGTGATGATCACAACTGGGGGTCGTATTTTGACCGCGAGGGAGGGGAGGCGGGGTTCGTTTTTGGTCGCCGTTGGGAGAGGGCGCGACCTCCCCCCCCTCCCGCTCGACAGCAAAATTTTGGGAAAAACCAGAAATTTTTGGGAAAAAATGGAAAGTGGTAGGAAGTTGGGAAAATCTAGGAAAGTGGTAAGTAGCATGGGGAGCCGACTGGGGGGGGAGGGAGGAGGGCCGTATTTGAGGTTAGAATAAGGAAAGTCATATTTTTCAGGATGGGCGGTGCCTTCTCCAAAGTTCAGTATCTTTTAGGAACTGATATTGTCCGCGGTGAGCTGAGAACCGCCCACAGTGGGCGGAGCATCTTTTCAAGCATGAGGAACTCATTTCAAAAAACTGCAGTTGGAGCACTGGTTTGTCCCGGTTTGTCCCGGTTTCTGGAGCGCTGGAGCACTCCAGAAACCGGGACAAAGTTGACTGGGGTTAGCGAAGACGTAACTGCGTCCAGCAGATAAGCTGGCATCCACTTTGCTCACCTCGTTGGCAGGGGTAAGCGACTGAGATGTGGGGGAGAAATTCGCTGGGGCGGGGCGTGCGTCGATGTGGGCGGAGCAAACGCTATTATGCTTGGTTTCAAAGCTCCCAGACAAAAGGAAAAGAGGATAAATGGTAGCGTTCCTTCTATGGGGAGCATTTTGCACTTTTGCTACTTTGCATCAACGTGTCGACCTATCTAGACAGCCTCCTATCTCTCCTAGAGTCGACAGGCTTTACCAAAATGGCTTGAAAAATTGCTCCTGCTTCACAAGGGCTCTAAGGTTTCAGACCTGCAAACCGGCACTAGTAAGCAAGGAAGATTCAAAATGCCCCCTCCCTTCTCCCGCCCCACCCCCACCGTCCCTGAACTGCGCCGCATAAATGTTTGCAAGGGGTCAGTGGATGGAAAGAAGTAAGAGTGGGCGAGGTGTGTGCCGAGGTGAGCGGAGTAAACTCAAAACTTCGTTCATTGGCTCTAAAGCACCCCAGAGACATTCACACATTCGCGAGACCAGATAAATGAGTGGTGAGAGAGCTTACATCCCCCTAAGCAGTCTTCTGAAGAAGTGCAACTAAACGCAAATTACGAGCCCCTCTGAAGTCCTTAACGCGCACTTTCAGAGCAAGTAGTAATGCAAGTGCGGCTACTGACCTAGTGCGGCTACTGACTGCTTCCCAGCTCTTGGCGTAGGGCCGAGACTTTGAATAAGACAGTCGCAGGAGTTTGTTCAGTATAAAAGCAAGGGCATCTCATGGCATTCCGTAATAACAGTCATTTGAAAAAAAAAACATTTTGCATTCCACTGAAAATAGTTGATGTTCTCAAATGATCTCTCAATTCTTTTTAGATTTCCAGAATAAAATCTGTAAGATTCTCAGCGAGAAAGGAATCCCTAGCCCAAAAATCCTCAAGCGGTTGGATGGGCGTGATTGGGCATGCGAAGAAAGATAGTTACGGAGGTAAAGCACACAGTTACAGTCGTATTCCAGCATGCGACTAGGGCGGCGCACAATGTGACGCGAGTGGATTGGAAGCGCTGTCAGGGGGCGGGGAACGCTTTCTCCGCCAATGATGCCATTTCTGACCCGCGCCACATGGTGGCAAATCTGTCCTGGCTTGCTTACAGCTTGCGTCCCTCGTCACACTCATGATTGTATACAGTCGCAATCAGTCAGGAAGTGTCAGGAGGAGTGAAATTAGCTCTGGGAACTTCATCTCCCGATAGTGATCTGTTAATGATGAATTCAGAAAGAAATTAACAAAAGGTAGAAAATGATGGGGATGGGCTCATTTCATGCCCCAGACACCGCCCAGACCGATTGCGAGGATATCAACTGTAACTCATACAGTCGTTTTTTTTCTGGTACACTTCAGTTTTGATAGTATTACAGTACACCTGCCCGTGCGTTTGTTTGAGATTCTTCCTGGTTTGAACCTCGAGAACTTCCCTTACGACCGTGAGGTTACCGAAGACCTTGGAGAACTCCTGGCGAAATTTCATGTTATCGCTGATGAATCGAAGTGTTAGTTTATGCGACCTTTTTGTATGAATGTGTACAAAACTTCAATGGAATTTTTCGAATACCGTTTGCAGTGTCAGTTGCTTATGTACCGTACATTGCTATTGAGCATAGGCGAGGTATTCTGAAGGAGATGGAACTGCTCTTGGAGCGGTCAGTAATATCGAAGGAGAGGGCAAAGCTTATAGCTGATTGTCTGGCGGAGTTCGATGAACGAATCGCAAACCACCGCGAATTGCATGAGATAGGTCGGTTATCGCTAGAAATTACTTTTGTTTTGCTTTTCTGAAGTACTGTTCCGCTGAGCGATTTGATAGCCACTAAGAAAGGAACTTGTGGAAGGCTGTCAACCATAATTGCTAACAATAAATTGGACAGAGAAAAATCTCGGCACTATTTACCCTTTACTGCCCCAACCATCCAGAATTGAGCCAGTTTTTGACCGACTTTTTTCTCCGTGGACAGATTTGGCTCAAATGTTGTCGTCTAGGGTACTTCGACCTTTTGAATACAAACATCACATTGGCTTAGCTCGAAACCTTCTGGCGCGCGCGACAGGCGCCGGTGATTTGGGGTATTTTGGCGACGGCACTGTAGCGTGGCCAGGAAGTCTCCTGCCGAGCGAATGTTATATTCGTGTTCAGGAGGTCAAACTCGGAAACAAGTTTTCAGCTAATTTGGTGATTTAGGGTATTTTGGCGCCGGCGCCTGTGGCGCGGGCGCCAGGAGGTTTCGCACTGAGCGGATATGATATTCATATTCAGGAGGTGAAACTACCCCAGGAGACAAATTTTTAGCGAATTCCGTTCACGGAGAAAAAAGTTTGGTCAAAAACTGGCCAGATTTCGGATGATTGGGGCAGTGAAGGGTAAATAGTGCCAAAATCTCAAACTTCTTCACTCTATTAACGACGTTTTGGGATATTTTGAATGGCTCAGGTTTTTTGAATGGCTTTTGTTGAGTCAATAGTCCGATGACTCAGTCATGTCTTTGCATAGAGGGAGCTAGCCAATCTTTCATCCGCCCTGGCTGTATGCATAGAATTCAGATCTCCTTTTCCGCATACCTCATGAGTTGCGTTTAAAGGCAATTTTCGCGGCTTACCATAGGTAGCAGGTCAAAAACAGGAGTGCACGGTGCTGATTGCTCAGTAGTGGAGAGAAAAGTATGGAAACCCTCGACCCCAATATGGCCCTCTTTTTGCACTTGGTATGTCGAGAGAACACAACGGCATTGTTACGACGACACGTGGGCCGGCATGGGTCTCCTTGGGCCTTAAATTCTAGGCTTCGGTCTTTGTTTGCCATTTCAAAAGGTTTTGATGCAGTACAACCTCTATCTAATCACCTGAGTGGTCATCCATTCAGGCAGGTTATAGCCTTTAGCTCTGTGCAAAACGTGGCCGTAAGGGCAAGGCGCCCACGTTCATTTGATGTTCCCGCGCCCTCTCTGGATATCATAGCCCTCCCTATGAGGATGCAGTATGTACTAGTTTTGCATCTCAAAAAGGCGAGAGGATAGCGCCGTTCGCTAGTGAAGAGTCGGCCGCCCCGCCCACCTGGCCAGCATAGGGTTCTATATAGGGCATTTTCCATGATTTTTTTCTGCTTTTTTCTTCACTACTGGATCACGTATTATATGAGCTCCATAACTCATTATTCTTGAAAGCGGGCTCAGCCTTTGAAGGCTAAGCCAAAGCAGTTATGGCAGCCAGGTGGGCGGGGCGGCATCCTCTTCACAAGCGGGTGGCGCCATCCTCTCGTATTTTTGAGCTGCGAAATTAGTACATCCTCCACCTTGTCGACAAAGCTACGATATCTAAGGAGGGCGTAGGAACATCAAATGACACGGGCGCTGCCTTTAAAACCAAGGACCATGGGTTTGATCGCCGCTACCAATTTACTGTGCCCGAAGGGTAGAAGGTTCAGTTTGTCCGAATGGGTGCCGATGTTGGATTTTGCCCACGAGCGAGCGTGCTAAACGCTTTCAACTACTCCTCCGCTTGACTCTCATGCCGGTTATAGGGACGACCTATGGGTGTGTACGGGTGTGGGCGAAGTACGAGAAGTGTGAGGAAAAACTTATCCGTAGCTATACTACACAGAATATAGGTCATTACAGTTTTTTTGTGGTTGTGCTTGTTTGTAACTAGTAATGTGTAAATAACGGACATGGAATGAAAATTTCAGAGGGGACGAGGGTTCGGAAAAATAGCTTAGATTCAGTGCGTGCCGTCAGACGAAAATTACTCAACCAAATACATCCTTCCTCTGTGCTTATCAGTAAGGTGAGGGAGTAGCAACAAATTTCATAGTAAAAGTTCTAGAAATAGAAACGTTTCGGTTAGTTGCCTAAATTTATCGTCAAATCAGAGGTTTCGTTGATTAACTAATCCACTTTCCTTTCCATTTTTGGACTTTTCTCAACGAAACTGGTATCATATGACAGAGCAATATTTGTGAGTATGGTGTTGATGTTGAAGTTCTAAGCTATATCTTCCTCGATGGAAATCATGCGGCATCACAAGTGCTATCCTTATTGGCGTCGGGGTGGGAATAAAACCAGAAACAGTGTGTTCAAGTCTAACGGAGCAAGTATTTTGACTTAAGTCAGAAGTGTACGTTCCAGGCTTGATACACTCCGACATCAACGAAACCAATGTTCTTTTGACTGAAAATGATGGCGTAAAGAAGGTAATCGTACTACAGTTTTTTTTATGAAAAATGGTGCTTCAAATCTTCCAAAAGTATACCAGCGCTTGCAGTTTCGTGCTAATGCATAAACGATAGCTGAAAGGGCACTAGCCTATCCAAACTATAGTCCTACGTGAAGAGGACCCTGAAAAGGGAAGGTTCCAAATTTCCATGGAACTTTGAATGGAGACCTAGGCATATCGACAGAGGATTAAATGCTGGTTATTAGTATGCAGGATAAAGTGCTACGTAGACATTCCAGACGCTGTGCCGCCGTGTCCTCGGAGGATTTTTGAAAATTGTAGTTAATGCTCTTATGGAGAGGGAGCAGGATTTCGCACCAACGGTGAGCAAACGCGTAAGCGTTTGGCTTTTAGGCTAGGCGACTTGCACTAGGCCGCGTTGCCACGTCATTCGACCGTTCAGTAGTGCTCACAAGCCAACTCTGCAACCAAACTTTGACCATCCGGAACCCGTCTGGGAGATCCTCGTAGCACTTTTAATCCACATATTTGTAATCACCATTCGGGGCTCAATCGTGCTGAAAACATTCCCCTGTGAGTGTTTTAGAGAGGAAATGTTGAAATTACGTCGTTGGCGTCAAATTCACTTCACTTAGCATGTTATCCGCGTAGTACCCTCGTCATCCGGGCAGTTGATTAGGGCGGTCGTCAACGGGCCGCAGCGCGTGCCAGGAACTATTTGCTTTTTCCAGGCTAATTTAGTCATTTTTTCCAACTTTTCACTGTTTTGGCTACTTTTTCCCAGATTAGCAGCTCCTTATCTTCACAAGGTGGAAAAAATGACTAAATTAGCCTGGAAAAGTCCTGGCACGCGCTGCGGCCCGTTGACGACCGCCCTAATCAACTGCCCGGATGACGAGGGGTAGACTACGCGGATATAATGCTAAGTGAAGTGAATTTGACGCCAACGACGTAATTTCAACATTTCCTCTCTAAAAACACTCAAATAGATGTGAGTGCTAAATCCGTGGAATCGATGTTGAACGCACCAGTGAGCTTGATGTCTGTGTATACTACAGCGCATGTGAACATTTGATTTATTGACTGTAGAATTACAACGAGTCTTGACGAGGCAGCTTCGTGATTCACGAACTCCGGAAATCTGACACAATAAAAAAAAACGCACCAGAACAACTACATATGGTCAGGAGAGGGCTGTTTGATTGCACACCGAGTTTAGAAAGCAACAGTCTTTCCAAGCTTACCAGTTTCTCCGCAACAGTCCCACGGTAAACTTGTCCGTCAGCCAGTTATTGTAAGAATTCTGGGTTACTGACAAAAATTTTGACCCAAGGCGGGATCTGAATCCGTACATCTCGCTTTGCGGACTATCCGTTACGCCATGGTCTCTTACTTTCCAGCTTGACGGTCACGTATGGTTTGTCGCGCAGCTCACAGCTACAAGAGCGTTTCTATATTACTTGCCCTCCGCCTAACGGTGATTTTTCTGAGTGACGATCAGCGTTCCTTCCATTGGGTCCTGTACAAGGCTACGCCGTACACCGTTTTCGCTTGAGGATACTAACATTCATAACATCAATCAGCGTTAGAGGAACTGGTAATTTAGCTGGTCCAACAACCATCACCTAATGGCAAGACCCCTGGGCCCACACACCGTTTTTAAAGGCAGCGCCCGCGTTCATTTGATGTTCCTACGCCCTCCTTAGATATCGTAGCTTTGTCGACAAGGGTGGAGGATGTACTAATTTCGCAGCTCAAAAATACGAGAGGATGGCGCCACCCGCTTGTGAAGAGGATGCCGCCCGCCCACCTGGCTGCCATAACTGCTTTGGCTTAGCCTTAAAAGGCTGAGCCCGCTTTGAAGAATAATGAGTTATACAGATCATACCTGATCCAGTAGTGAAGGAAAAAAAGCAGAAAAAAAATCATGGAAAATGCCCTATATAGAACCCTATGCTGGCCAGGTGGGCGGGGCGGCCGACTCTTCACTAGCGAACGGCGCTATCCTCTCGCCTTTTTGAGATGCAAAACTAGTACATACTGCATCCTCATAGGGAGGGCTATGATATCCAGAGAGGGCGCGGGAACATCAAATGAACGTGGGCGCTGCCTTTAAGGCAGCGTTCAGACTTGTAGCGCTACAGCGTCGCGCTACAGCTGTAGCGCTACAGTTGTACCGAACTCCAGCTTTTATGTTTTTTCTTTCTGTATCAACCTCTTCTCTTTGTTTCTCATATTTATCTGATAGTGAGCTCCTGTTTTCTACTTTATCACATTTTAATGTAGTTTTTGATACAGAAGACTGTGATTGGTTTTATTTATCGTTTTTGACTTTAATTAT